ACGAAATTTATTTGATCGAATAAATTCTGCCATATTTGCTTGCTTCAAATACTTTTATTCGCTTGACATTTCGAGATCCGTCGCGGATTCATCATCAGAGACATAAACATAAACAGTAGCAGATAAGAGTTGAGAAGTGTCCAACGATTACTAATGGCATTTACTCGTCTTGCTTTGGCTTGGGATGCATTCTTGACTACTCATTTTAAACTACCAGCCATTGTGCGGCTGCTGGAGTGCTCCAGAATGAGTCTTAAGGCTAAGAAGGATTTGTGGCTTCCGTTAAGGATTGACAGACGTTAAGCAATGAGTTTTTATATCTCCCGTTCAAAACCGGCAAGAGAACGAGCTCGTGGTTCAGTGGTTAGAGTTTTAGTCTTCTGATCAAAAGGGTCTCGGGTTCGGGCCTCGGGTGGGGCACCGGTTGGAGTTGGGTGTGACGGGCTAATGGCGGCTAATGAGTCACTGATGACCATTCCCGTCTCTCGTGTCTTTGTCGGCAATGCTATCTACTTGGAGAATTTTTAATGCCGTAATTTTTTTCTATTTATATTTCCTTTATATGGGAGAACCCGAAATAACTACAAGGGGAATTAACAAGACCCCAATAAAAGAAAAATTCAAGGCCTTCAGCGAGCTGTATTGCCTCCGGATATAAAAATGCTAAGCAGTCCTCCCCTTTCCCTGGTAGCGCTTTACTCTGAGAGTAAACATTAAATAAATCGGTGGCTTTACACAGATCGTATGATCTAGGCCTGTCTCGAAAGCCAGATATTAATTCGATTGCGCTCAGCCCTAGCCCCTTAGAGAGAAAGATGGGCTAATGTCGTCGCCACTGCCGCAACATAACTGGCGCCTATTGATGGATGTCAAGCAGAGACGTGTCGCGAATTAGAGACCGCACAGTGGTGAGGACGATGCCAAACAGTGAGAAGACACCGATGCATGCCTAGCCTTTCCTCCGATTTCTCTCCAAAAGCTGTTTGCTTTCCATCGCCGCTGGCGATTATAGTAATGCTGCTACTGCTACTGGTGCCGTTTTCCAGCAATACCTCCTCAGAGAAACCGTCATCATTGGTGCATACGAGTGCTTTATTATTGTTTCTGTTGAAATTCCTTTTTGAATAAGGATATCCCCAAATAACAGAACAGGTGTTACTGCATCAATTTTTTTCCCTTTTAGATGTTAGTCATATACTTCACCACTATAATATCCGCCCTTGATTTTAAGGGAGGTAGCACTGCCGACAAGGACAAGGGGGATTGACATGTCCATTGCTGGCTCATTGGCCGTCATCGGGCAGTCAAACCCAACCCGGATTGGTGCCCTATCCAGGGCTCCAACTCACGATCTTTTCGATCAGAAGCCTAACGCTTTAACCACTGAGTTACGGAATCATTGCCTCGTTGATTTTGGTTGGGATATATTTAAACTCGTTGATTAAAGTTCACCGATCGCGAACGGAACTCACCCATCTCGCTCTGCATCGGAACTCCTTCTCGAGCACCGGCAGCAGCCACAGCTTAGAGATTAGAACGTTAGCCTTCTGATTAAAAGATCACGAGTTCGAGCCTTGGGTGGTGCACCACTTGGGGTTGGGTATGATTGACTGATGAGGGCCAATGAACCAGAAATGGCCATTCCAGTCTTCCATGTCCTTACCGCTGTTAGGGCCCAAAGAATGAGACGCAAAGCGGAGTGGGATGAGTGAGTTTCATAAGCGATCGGTAAATGTTCATCAATGAGTAGTTCGTTACAGTAAAAACCGATAAATTCGGACGAACTGAAACGTTGTTGTCTAAAGTTATTTTGAAATAATGCCATCCAGACTAACAGAGCATATCTTGCTGCATTTACTTTCTCCATTAGAATATCCATTTTCAATATTGGATCATCCAATTACCAATACAAGATAAGTAACTAGACCTTAACAAAAGAGATTTAGAGGCATTCGATGAACTTTATTGCCTTTGAATATGGCAAATTTTGATGGAAATGTTGATCGGTCCCCTCGTATCCGTTGGTCACACTTTACTCGAAGGGTAAACCTTAGATTAATCGGGGACTTTGTGCCCGTCGTAGGCTTTAGACCTGTCTCACGAGCCAGATATTAATTCGATTGCGCACAACGCAAACCTCTTAGAGAGAGAGCTCGTGAAATGTCGCTGCCGCCGTTCATTTTGACGGACATCAAACAGAGACGCGCTGGATGGATGACTTATTGGCGAGAAGACGATGCCAAGACCCCGACGCTTGCCTATCATTTCCTCCGATTTCTCTCCAAAAGCTGCTTGCTTTCCATCGCTGCTGGCGACGGTGGTATTGCTGCTGTTTCTAAACAATACCCCCTAAGAGCAGCCGTTATCACTGGTGCATACCAGGGCTTTACTATTATTTCTGTTGAAATTCCTTTTGGAAGTAAAATAGCCAAAATAACAGAGCAGGTGTTACTGCATCAATTTTTTTCTTTTTATATGTCAGTCTTCTATCTTGCCACTCTAATATCCGTCCTTCGTATTGGACAACCCAAGTGGTGCATCACTTGAGGCTCGAACTCGCAAGCTTTTTGATCAGAAGTCTAACGTTCTAACCAATGAGTCACAGACTCATTGTCTTACCGTTTTAGCTCGAGGCATATTAAAACTCATTGATTAACGTTCACCGGTCGCTAACTTAACTCACTTGTCTTGGAGTTCTGCCTTGGGACTCAGATTCGAGTCCTGCCAGCAGCCTCACAGCACCTCGCAGTCTAGGCGGATTGTATTGCCCGCATAGAGAAGGGAGATTGGAATGGCCATTTCTGGCTCATTAGCCGTCATCAGCCAATCATAGCCAACCCTAACTAATGCACCACTGGAGGCTCGAACTCGCAACCTTTTGATCATAAGTGTAATGTGCTAACTATTAAGCCACGATCTCTAGCAAGGCAGAGCGGGACAAGAGATTTCCGTTAGCGATCGGTGATTGTTCATGTACGAGGGGATTAACCAGACGGTATTAAAAGAGAAGTAAATGCATTCGTGATTTTGATTAGCTTCAGATATGGCAAGCATTTACGGAAACGTTAAGCAGTCTCTTCCCTTCCGCTGGCACCAGTTTACTCGAAGAGTAAACATTAGATAAATCGGGACTAGCCGTCCCTCGTATGATCTAGTCCTGCCTCACAAGCCAAATATTAATTCGATTGCGCGCAGCACAAACCTTCTGGAGAGAGAGAGAGAGAGAGAGACGGACTAGTGACGGACGTCAAAGAGGGAAACACGTGGGAAGATAAACTTATTAGAGAGACAGCGCGCCGCGGTGAAGACCCCGATACCAAACGGTGAATATGCCTATCATTTTCTCCGATTTATCTCCAAAATCTGTTTGCTTTGCAGCGCCGTCGGCGGCGGCGGCAACGGTGGTACCATTTTCCGGCAATACCTCCCCAGAGCAGCCGTCAATTTTAATTTCTGCATTTTGTGCCTGACTCGTGTGAGCGCCCTGAGACCTGAAGTATTTTGGAAACAACACTGTGCATACAATAGCGCACGAGTCGACACAGTCACTGGAGTGACCGTTGCTGCTGCCGCTGCTGTAGCAGCGAGGTCAAAAGCCCTCCGCGCAAAACAAAAGCAGTATCCTTCCGCTCCGGTGAACTTTTGACATCTTGGCGCAAATTTAGGACTATGCGTGAGCAGTTATCGCGCGCCTGCAGAGCATGTCAAAGGCGCAACCCCCCCCTCCTTGAAAATGCTGTTAACTATCTCTCCCCCCTCTCCCCAATGACCTTGAGGGGTCCGGGGGGGGGAATCAGGCATATTTAAAAATGTTCGCAGATCTGACGGGGAACAGTCCAGGTTAACTTGATTACCCCCGCGAGTTATCCGTCTCAATGGCGGGAAATGAGGACACGTCAGTTGTACAAAGTGAACGAGGTTGAAACAAGGGAGGGGGGCGAGAGAAAGAGTAAACAGAAAACGAGGTTGAAAAGGGCGCCAAATAGCACG